TCATAAGGGGAATTAAATTTGGCGTCGAGTAAAGTTTTAGGGATTGACAATCATACAGCGTAATTATTAATTGTTTCCAGACTGGCGCACACACACACCCACACACACACACACATATATATATATATAGGGGGGGGGGCCAAACTGAAAGTTCGCCCAGGGCGCCGGGAGGGGTCGCTACGCCTCTGAGTAAATATCAGCTAACTAGTATTAGTACTGAATGTGGTTTTAAGTATAATTTTTGATGTTTGATAGATGAACATTTTGTTTAACATCTTGCTTTTTAACTTTTAATTCTTAGTTCCAAGTCAGTATCCCACAGAAGTGTATGTATATTCAGTGGAAGGATTTGGTGTTCGTGTCAACTTCAGAGGAATTAGCACACAAAAGCGTGAGGAACCTCTACTAGGCTACAAGGTATCTTTACTAGAATGTTCAAATATTGTCAATTTTGATTTTTTTCTTATCAAATATCATGACATTGACGGACATGAATATTCGCCATGTTAAAATAATAATACCTCTTAGCACTTTTTATGGGAAGTAACTGCTAGCCAACTCTGAAAACTTGAATAATATTTAAAACTGACAGATTTTTGTACTATGTAACAGTGTTAAATAAATTCAAATTAATTTTCTATTTGATTCTGTTGGGCATTAAACATACTTAAATTTGAGAAGAAATTTATTGTAGCTCTCTGTGATTTTGCTTAATCTTTACTGTGCATTTAATACTGAAAATTTCATTCTTCATTCAAAAACCTACCTTAAGAAAATATTTATAGTATGTGCCTTTGTATTTTTCTTTTAAAGTAGCTCTGATTTTTTTCATATAACAAACAATTCAAAAAGTTTTCTCTTAAACATAACTAGTTTATTTATACTGTTAAAAATTATTTTTTAAAAATATACAAATTAATGCTCTTCAGGTACAGTATTGGAAAGCATTTGAAAACATACATAATGCTAAGGAAGTGGATTTTGGAATGTTGAGCACTGGAGTTATTCGTAATTTGAGTTCAAGTCAGTTATATGAACTACGAGTTTTTGGTTACAGCAGAGGCGGTCAGGGTAAAAGAAGTTCACCATCAGTCTATTTTACAGTTGGAGGTTTGTTCATTGAATTGATATAAGTTACCTTTAGTGTGTGGGATGTTGTATTTTTGTATGGTAGGGTACAACATTAAATGTGAGAAGATGGGATGGTGTTTGATACAATTCAGTGGTTAGTGAGATGGGGGATTGATGATCTTTTGGAGTCATGAAGACTAAAATTGGTTTGAAGGCAATATTTTATTTTTGCTTTCCTGCTGACTTTAAGAAGTGTGTTTTTCATGGATCAGGCTAACTATGATCTAGTAAACAATACTACACTAACAACTTGTGGACTTGTGCCCATCACCCCCACCTGCTCAGATAACTTAACATTTATTATTAAATACTGTCCAATTCATAGAAACCTTCCAGAAATGATACAATACCATAAAATACCTGTAGTAAAACAAAAATGATGAGCTTACATTTTTCTTTAAATTTTTAAACATATATTTTATAGCAGTATACCCGTACTCCACCACGGTGAATCTTTTTTAAATGTTCCAACTTAAGAACAGAACAAAAGAAAACATGAACAAAACAAAAACAAAACACAAACACAACACAAACCGGGACGGCTAGTATTATATAGAACGAGAAAAATGGCCCGTTGAGGAAGGATACAACGGGCGCTAGGTTGATAGTGCTATTTTCTCTGTACTTTAATTTATACAAAATATAGTCATAGGCATATCCCTAAACCATGCACCTAATCTCATTTATGACAAAAGTCGCATTTAGAGTTTCTTTCAGGCAACTCTACTTGGGAGGAGGGGGCTCCACACACACACACTCCAAAACATGTCTACCGTCCCATTCAACGAAATATAATTATATACTTTTTCCAGTAAAAGTAGTCAAAAGCTTGCAGAAGAAAGCATTGTAACTTTTTAAGCTGTTGATGATCAATCACAAGCAGTGCTGGCGCTACCTATAAGGCGAACTAGATGGTCGCCTAGGGGCACAAAAATAAATAATCTCCATTTTTAAAAAGTACCTTATAATTAATCACTTAGATATTATAACATGTTAACTGTAGACAGGGTATTATACAAAAGTGTAGCAATTTAATTTGGCGCCCAGGATGAATTACCAACTTTTGCACCCCCAAATTGGGCCTATATAGGTCCCATAGATATTCACGTTGGTAAAAAAAAAAACCAACTCCCTCATTTCAATAGAATGTGATTATGCCTCAACACTGGAATTAGTAGAGAGGAAGAAGACACCAAAGTAATGTAGATATTTAAGTCCACTTGAAACATTTATGCACTGGATAATAATTTAATATGTCACTTTACATTTATTGTTTTCTTATACATATGTTTTTGTAATTAATTTGTGTAAAAGGGGGCGTTTGAATGTTTTGCCTAGGGTGATAAATAACCTGGCACCGATCATAAGACTACATTTAATAGCCTGTTATTTATTTTGATTTCAGCGTAGAACATCAAAACATGGGTGGGTGGATGTATATCTATCTAAATGGATATGTGTTTGGTTTTCTAAATATATAGATTGATATATTGATCCATCTGTTTAATTGTTTATTTATTTTTTCATTTATACAGATGGCCAGATTCAAATAAATGCAGAAACAACAGAAATCTTAGGTGGTGTTTCAGGTGTAAAAAGTTCAGGAATAGTTTTGGTTATCATGATCACAATCTGGGCAATATTTATTTAATCACAAACATCATTTTGAATATTATATTCTTTATATCTTTAACTAATAAGGCAGCCTAAACTAATGTACTAGATTTCTAATTCCCTCTTTAGGTACAGCAGATGTGACTAGTTTAAAATGATAAAAACTTTGTACGCCTACACACATGATATTAATATAACTACCTAAAATGTGCTATTTTTTGTCTAAAAATTACTCAGTTCATTTCATTCCAATAAATTTCATGCATAATTATTTGTAACCATTAGCTGTAAATATTATTTTTCTATGCCTCTGATGATGTTTCTCTACACATATTGTAAATGTTAAAAATATCTTGGGAACATCTTTTACACTAAAATGTAATATGTATTGGATTAGCTTATCATTGAGCATTTTGCGGAAATTACATTTTAAAATATATAGGCAAAGTTATGTTGATTGTCTTGTTACAAAATTATCCAATGCTTTTTTCTTTATATGTATTCTGTAAATATTATTTTGTAAATAGGTGTAATAAACGCTCTCAACTTTTTTCCATTCCAAATAAAAACTTTTTTATAATAAATTTAAAATGCCTGCACTTATTATCTTAAATTCTGCCCTGGTAATCCCCCGGCAAAGCGTCGGCTATTATTCTTGCAATGGTATAGCAGTAGAAACAAAAAAACAGTAAACGCCGTTATATTTTTAAAAAAAAAAAACATGATGTACAGTAACTAACGTAAACGAAACTCAACAAACATTACCGGGTAATTTCTGACGCTATACTGGGGATAAACTCTGCCCTTTCTAAACTATGAAGGGTAAAACTAGTTTAGCGTCGGAAATAATCCGGTAATGTTTGTTGAGGTTCGTAAACATTACTTACCATAAACCATATTTCACCGTTGAAATAAGCCTACAAAGTCGAGTGTACTAATTAATTTTAAATTTCATCGAAATAAGGAAACAGAAATAAATAAGAAATTTGGCAACAATCTATATATATATATATATATATATATATATATATATATATATATATATATATATATATATATATATATATATTTCTCTTCTTGGAGACGTTAGTAAACACCAAGCTGTAAGCGCGCCTAGCAGTCCCCTCTCTTCCTCTCTAGGCATATCAGTACCTCCCCCCTCCCCACATGGTCTGGTGAGCTGTGGTTCACGCTAAATGCTTACAATCGTAGAGCCGGGTTCAGTGGCGGCTATTAGGGGCAGGTAATTTAGTTTGAAACTATTTTAAACTTAGGGGAGGTAACTAAGAGGAGGCTGCTTTCACGAGGGGGTGGGGTAAAGGAGGGTTTTAATTTTAATGTTTTAAAGCAAATATTTTCAGTGGCAGCATTGGTACTGTCGAATTTACAAATTATGAATTACTGAAAAGTAAAAAAAACAAGAACTAAATAGCTCCGTATGATAAGCCGCGGGTCGGCTCGTTAGATTTAATTAACACTAACAGGGTCCGTAGCGGACCTTGAATTCCAAAAAACTTCTCAAGGCATTGAAAAACCCTTGAATTTCCCCAAAAATGAGCAAAAACCCTTGAATTTTATAGGTAAACCGTGCGTAAATCGAATTTTAAAAAACAATTCAATTCTGATGGATCTAAACTTTTTCTGGCTTTTTTTTTTTTTTTTTTGCCGTGGGTCTGCGTTAACTTCGGAGTCTACTATTTCCAAACCTCTCCTTAGCTAAGCCTCGCGGTATGACCTCAACCTGACCAGTTTTGCATAGGCTCTTCCTAACCTAGATTCTAGATCGTGACGTAAACGATAGGCGAGGGCTAAATTTAGCATCGTTTTTCGGGTATCTCCGTTTACGACAGAGTTACTAGATTCTAGCTAGATCTAGATTCAGTGTTTTCTGTTAGGGCCTACCTACTTGTACGGTTTTGTCCGTAATTTTTCGATTTTGACACCCCTGTTCAACCATCTTCCATCATAACAATCGACCCCCCCCCCCCCCCCCCAGCCCCTTCCCGACAATATCTCGGCAGTCGTTGGCTCTATTTATATTGTGAACTTATTGACCCCGCGAGTGGTCTGTTGTCTCCTGATCGGTGATGTCCGTAAAGAAAAAAAATTTGAATGTGGCCTAAATCATTAAAATTCTGGTCGCGCATGGAAGTTATTTCGATTATAATTAAACCTACATCTAGAACTAATATTTTTTCTTCAAGAAAATAAGCCTTAGGTTTAAATAAAAAAAAGAATAGCCTGAACTATGCGAGCGTAGGTTTCTATTTATTTAAATTAAAATTTTCTCGGTGTGGGTAAAACACAAAAGGGAGAAACGTAGCTGCGGAATTACGGGACATAATTTATCGAGTTATTGTGTTCTGTTGTTTTAGATGTGCGAGAAGACACGTTTTTACGAACCTAGATCAATCACGGTTCTTTGTGTACCCCACGTCAGCAGACGTTTCGGTCACTGCGACCTTAGATGGTCTTCTAGGTCTATCTCAACTTACAGTGACTTCGCAGTATATTATAGTGGTGGATCTAGATCTAGATTTTTAACTATTAACCAACAAGATTTCCTAATGCCAATAGGCCTATTTATCACGTTCGTTAAAAAAACCAATAGCAAATGACGTAATCGTCAATCTCACGTGCGCTATGGACCAAATACACATTGGCTGTATCAGATGGGTGAGGATGTAGACAGAACTTTTTGATGTCATTCTTGACGTGTCTGTCTGGTTATTTATGACGATAGAGGTTGGGGTAAAATTCGCATTAATTACGTGTCGTCATCAATGGGCTACCGCTAGGCTGTGTAATTAAAAAAAAAACTAAATCCTAACATTACCAGCTCATTAGCATCGCCGATTGTCTTCTTAAAAAAAACGAAAGGTTTTGCGCCGACGTAAAGTTTTTTTTTATTTATCGAAAGAAAAGAAAAATAATTTGAAGGACTATGACTGTGCTGTTTTCACTCAACTTTACGGACACTTTTTACCACCTCTCAATTCAAGGTCGCGCTGACCGTAAGACCTACGACACGAGACCACGCGCGAGCACAGTCGTGTCTCACGGTCAAGGCAGTTCAACAAACGCTGTTTATCTAATTTTAACGTGGTTATATTTAATATTGGGCTTACTGCTAGATTTAAGCGAAAACAAAAACTAGAACTGCATCGTTTTAGGTCATTGAACAAAATATGTAGGTCTGCTATAATTTAGTTACACCATCTAGCAGGGTCTAGATCTAATTGCTTTTTACTGTGGTAAAACGTCCTTGGAATGTTTAAGAACAGTGTTTCTTCCAGACTTTTTTCTCCGGGGGGGGGGGGGGGGGGTGAGCGGTAGACTTTCTTCGGGGGGGGGGGGGGGCGGACACTGTTAAAAGTATATATTTTCTATATAAATTATATAAATTTCATTTCGTTCGGGGGGGGGGGGGGGCGGTAAAAATTTAGAGATGCCTGGAAAAAAGAAACCCTGTTTAAGAAGCCTCGAATTACCGTGTTTGAGAAAATTGCCGCTGTCACTGCCCCCTCCCATCCGCTTGTAAAAAGAAGTCCGCTTTTCACTTTGTCGGGCGGCTACATCTCTGACATGAGTATTACTAGCGTAGTTACTTGTGAAATTGTTTTAAAAAAAACAACTTAATTCTGTTATTCCGCGATATGAACTAACTTAAAGCTTCCACGATATTTCTTTACGTCATCATGTATATCCTAGGTGGGGACATTGGGGTCGTCCATAAATGACGTCACACTCGTAGGGGGAGGGGGGATCCGTAATTGTGTGCCGGTGTGTGATGAGGGGAGGGGGGGGGGGTCTGATGGTGTGACATCACACTTTGGCGTTATTTAAAAGCAATGTTTAAAAACGAATTTTAGCATTTTAGAAAACTGTTTTAATAAATTGTAAAAGGAATTGATTAAACTACTCTATTTTGACAGAGTTCAGACAAGATTTTGGGAAAAAATCGTATTTTAAGAAAAATTCAACTGCAATTATGAGGGGGGGGGGGTTATAGGCTGAGGTGTGACGTCATTTTAGAGGGCGGGGCCTGGCTTTTTGTGATGTTTGACGGAGGGGAGGAGGGGGAGGGGTAAAAATCTTTTAAAAAGCGTGAGATCATTTATGACATTAAGCAGGATAATTTCTACAAGCATAGCTAGGTTTTTTTGTTTCTATATTTGTGCAGAGTCCTTTTTAAAGGAATATATGTGCAGAGTCCTTTTAAAAGGACTATCAGACAGACGAACCAATGCTTCCTTTTATGTATAATGACCTGATTCTGATTAGCACTTGACATTGACAAGTCATTTAATTGAAGTTGGGTTTGTTGCTGACTCTCTAATAAAGTCTCTAAAAAAAAAAAGCAAGTGAGCTTCAAATTCTCAATTTCAAATCTGATTGTAAGACAACTTTGATAGGATTTTCATCAAATTTTTTTGTTGAAATCTCCATTACTTTAGTCATTAGTGAGAGACTTAGCCTAATGCAAATGTTTAAAAATAGAGCCAGTTCACAAAAAAAAATGAAGGGAATTCTTCACATCCTAGTCAACAAATGTGTAATATAGTGAGACTTGTGAAGTCAAGGGAACTCACTCTTCTTGTATTAGTATTATATTTATACTGTTATCTTGAGTGATGTCCCTTACATGTATATATATCTTTGTCTCTCGTCACTTCCGTCCTCTCTCGTTATCATCATGTAGTTGAAGGCCAATAAACGTTTTATATACAACCACATGCTTCTATCGTCAATCCATTACATCTGGCGACGACGATAAATAATCCACTAGAAAGAGCACCTACTTACTCAAAAAGAGGTTTGCTAGAGCATATTGGCTAAGTATTTCTAGAATAATGGCGCTGTATGGCCAAATAAAAGAATTTGATTCGAATGATGAAACCATTCATGATTATCTAGATAGGTTAAGCTTTTACCTTGAAGCTAACGACGTGACGATAGAAGCCAAAAAGAGAGCTGTTTTGTTAACAGTCATATGGCCTCAACAATTTAGGCTACTAAAGGACTTATGCGCACCAGCTAGTCTAACTACTAAGAGCTTTAACGAGCTGAGCAAATTGCTAACAGACCACCATGCGCCTACCCCATCAAAGTTTCTATGTAGAGCTAGATTTGACGGTAGGACTCGTCAACCAAACGAGTCAATATCAGAATACGTTGCTGCTTTACGTCATTTAAGTGAATTTTGTGAATTCGGAGACACGCTGTCTGACAGACTATGTGAAAAGTTTGTGACAGGTGTAAACAGCCCTGATATTCAAAGAAAGTTGCTTCTCGAGTCAGATCTAACATTAGAAAAAGCAATACAACTAGCAACTTCATTCCAGCAGTCATCTGATGCGGCAAAATCTCTAACGCCTTCAGGGATCCATGCAGTAAACAGCAGGTTAGTCAACAAACACCAACCCCATCAGAGCATTTCAACTTATGCTAAACAGCCTGCACGTTCAAATCTTAGATCTAAATCTAGTAATAATTATCAAAAATGTCATCGATGCAACGGTCCCCATGCATCTCATCGATGCAAGTTCAAGTTAGCAACTTGTTATAAGTGCAGTAAGCAAGGTCACATT